CTTACCCCTAAAACAACAAATGTAATTAAATGAATTATATTAGTCTAATACATGCAGGGACGGATCCAGGATTCTGAGTCAAGGGGGGCGAAATTTTTCGTTAGTGTAGGGGTGAATTTTTTTTTGTTAGTGTAGAGGGGTGAATTTTTTTTTCCTAGTATAGCGGGGCAAATTTTTTTCGCTACTGTAGGGCTATGCGGCTATTTTTATTAAAAAAATGGCATTAATACCTGCACATCCCGAACGACATTTAAATCTATTACATTCTAAGTTTAGACGATGACAGAGACATCAACCAATACATTTTTAATAACTTCTACATTGTTTAACCTCATGAATCGGTTATTGAATTGTAATTTTTGTCCACCAAGGAGGGTGTTCGTGAGTCATGACTCATGAGAAGTTTTCTTAATATTACAATAGTAGTATACTAGTATGTATGAGATTGTTATTTTTGGAATAATATGCACCACATACACACACACATATATATGATGCATATTATATTTTAATATTTTTATTAATTCTATAATAATTTAGAGTTATTTCTCAATAATATGAGCAATAACATAAATTAGTGCGTTAAACATGCATGTTGTTCATATTAATTCCTTAGTAGTTATTTGAGCAAAGATTTTTCTTTGCTAAACTAAAGTTACAAAAAATATTTAATTATGAAGCTAAATTTTGTAACAAACTCAAATTACCTTATGATTTAGAATTTTCCTTTTTTGAGAACAATAGAAAAAATATTTAATCATTCGGAGGAGAGAAATCCGAAATTATTCTTTTATGGAGATGGATTTAGTACATTAAATTCAAATTAAATAATTATTTAATTATGAATATATTTTGAAGTGATCATGACAAATTTATTTTAATTACAAAGTATAAACTTAAACAAGCTATTTAAATTAATTCAAGTTTAACATTGCTTTTTCATAATTTAGCACAAACTATTATGAAAATAATGTTTTTTTTTCTATTTTCAAAATTATTATTTAATTATGAGGGTGTATTTAATAAAATAGTTCTGGACTAAAAATTATTCAATTATGTAGCTCAATTATTTAAATTGCCTTCTGCTTTACTTAAAAACTTTAATCATAAAAAAATACATTTTATATAAATTCGTATTTAGTAAATTAAATTTGAATAAAATAATTATTTGATTACAACATGTTTACAAATAAACTTCAAAAATATGTTTAAATTACACAAAGTGTAAAATTGCACAAACTTTAATTGAGAAGGTAAATTGAAATATAATTGAAATTACCTTCTATATACATATGGATTAGCTCCAAGTTCTAAGAAAATAAAAGATAAAATGGATTTGATCCAAGTTTGAATTACCTCAGTGGCTCCATCCCATAATATAAATGCATATGGATTTGGTCCAAGTTATAACAAAATAAAAGATAAAATGGTAGTTTTACAATTTGAAGAAGGTAATACAACTATACAAGTCTACAAAAAGTAACCAATAAAATGAAAAAGTAAAAAGTTAATAGAATTCAGCTCAGAAAATATTCATATTCTTTAAACAACCCAACAAGGAAAATATACATCTTATAAAATTCAACGGATGGAGTAATTTATAACAGAAAAAACTCTCTAACTCTAACTCAAACCATATGAATCTGGCAGGTTGCAGTCCAGTGACACAGATAGGTTACAGAAGTTCAACCCAGATGGAAACAAACAAATCGACACTCATCTAACCGAGATTTAAATAAATCAACGAATGAGTCTAGATTATTAAAAATGAGCCAAGATGCTTTTGAGGACGTCCAATTAGGGGTGGACCGGTTCCGGTCTGGGCCCGGTTCGGGCCTGGGCCCGACCGGTTCGCGGTTCTGTTTTGTTGGGCCCGAGCCCGAACCGGTAGCCACCGGGTCCGGTTCCGGGCCAGGCCGGGCCGGGCCACCCAGTTTGTAATTTTTTTTGGCTTCTCCTATTTAACCCCCAACCCACCCCCCTCACCCCCAAACCACCTCAAATGGCCCAAAATACCCAGCCCAACCCAAAAACTTAAAAAAAAAATCAGGAAAAAAAATTAATTCGGCCCGGACTGGGCCCGAACCGGCCGGGCCGGTTCACCAAATGGATGGCCCGAGCCCGGAACCGAAGCCCACCGGGCCGGGTGGTCCAAACCGGGCACTAACCGGTTCACCGGGCCAGTCCGGGCCCGCACAGTAGCGGGCCAGTTGGCCCAGCCCGAGTCCATCCCTACGTCCAATCCTGCCTCACTCCCACATAGCTAAAAAGAATCTAGCTATTAAGAATCTAGATGTTCCACAAAGTATGGAACATCTTCTGACTGTTAAGGATAGCTGGATAGGTGTGAAAAGAGAGCATGCCACACCAGCCCTATGCGGAAGCGTATACCATACAGCCGGCTGTACGGCTGGCACCGTACGGCCGGTGGCAATTTTGTAATTTTCATGAAGTTCGTGGTTTCTCGTAAATGAGCATTGATGTAATTTTGATGAACATCGAGCCTATTCTTCTGAGTATTAAAAGCCTAACAATGAGCACCAGTGATCTCTGCTTCATATTTTCTAATTCGGTTTCTTTTTATGATTTTTTCATTTATAAAAATTAAAAATTTTAAATTATGTTTATAATTAATTTCAATATGTGAATCTAATGTAGTATGATATGTTTGATATGTGCATCATTTTAAAATGAGCATAAAGCAGTACCAAATGAGCATACAAAATGAGCATACATAATTTATAAAATGAGTATCAAAAAAATTCAAAACTTTATTTGTGTATGCTCATTGATTTTGGGCGTTATATTTGAAATGTGCATCATTTTAAAATGAGCATAAAACAATACCAAATGAGCATACATAATTTACAAAATGAGTATCAAAATATTAAAAACTCGTTTTTGTGCGTTCATTCATTTTGGGCATAATACTCATTTGAATTTAACTTAAAACTCATTTTGAAATATGCATGAATATGACATTTTAAAAAGAGTATTGTACTAATATCAAATGAGTATACATAAATTACGAAATGAGCGTTCAAAAAACTCATTTGAGTATGTTCATTCATTTTGGGTGTTATACTCATTTCAATTTTACATGAAACTCATTTTCAATGTGTTCAATATTAGTTTGTGTGAGTTCATTTCTTTTAGGCGTATACTCATTTCTTTTAGGTTCATTTAAAATCACCACCATGCTTAAACTTTTATTTGCGTATGCTCATATCTTTAGAATTACGTACAACCTAGGTTATCCCAAACCCAAAAACCACCAAACTAAAATAATCAGTCTGAGAAAAATAGAAAAAGGAAAAGAAAGGAGCAGAGCGTGCGAAGTTAAGGACGAAGTTGAAGGAGAGCTGTTGAAGGGTTGCGGTTGTCAAAAAAGGGAGAGGTGCTAATAGGAGGCGAGCAAGGATGATCGGCCATGGAAGCCTACGATGACGGAAGCTTGCGATGGAAGGCCTGCAATTCGCGAACTAAAAGCCCGGTTGTACCGTGCGCACGGTACAGCCGGTTGTACCATGTAATTTACGAGCCTTATGGTGGGGTCAAAGTGATGATCTGCTCTCAAGTTGTAGCGAAACCGGCCCAAACCAGGACAAATTTTGTTGAGCTAAGGCCCGGTACCAGCCCCCAATTGTACAGGGACCGGATTAGGCCGGATCGGTTCATATTTTTTTTCTTATCTTATTTATTCCACCCCCAAACCCCGCCAAAACACCCAGCCCATCCTAGCCCAACCCAACCCACCTAGCATAGGCCCAAACCCAAAAAAAATAATTAAAAAAAGGATTGGACCTGTTGGGCCGGTCCCAATTTCCTTGCACCCGGAGTAGGGCTGGACTCGGGCCGGGCGGCCCGACCCGGGACCGAACCGGCCCGGTCACTGTTTGGCCCGGCCCGGCCCGTGGCCCGGTGGGTCCACCGGTTCGGTTGGCCCGGCCCGGGTGCTGGGCGGTCCGGGCTCGGGCCCAGGTTTTGGTGAACCGGCCCGGCCGGTCCGGGCCGGATTTTAATTTTAATTTTTTTTTTGAAATTTTTTTTAAGTTTTAGGTTGGATTAGGTATTTTGGGCCATTTGAGGTGGTTTGGGATGGTTTGAGGTTGAGGGGGAGGGGTAGGGGATTAAATAGGAGAACAAAAAAAAAATTGGGCCGGTTCGTCCAGGCCCAGTTTGGCCCGGAACCGGAACCGGAACCGACCACCGGCGATTCTCGGGCCTCCCCTTTCCTGGCCCGAGGCCCGGCCGGGCCCGGGCCCAGGCCTGAACCAGCCCGAGTCCAGCCCTAACCCGGAGGCCGGCCTGAAAATCCCCCTCACCGGGCCGGTCAACCCAGGCCCGGTCCAACCTTACTTGTAGATACACTCTCAACTCGTTGAAAATTATGAAATTGAATCCTTTTACCTAGTGGTGGACTCGGGCCGGTTCGGGCCTGGGCCCAGTCGGGCCTCGGGCCAGGAATGTTGGGCCCGAGCCCGAACCGCCGGTGGGCGGTTCCGGTTCCGGGCCAAACCGGGCCGGGCCGGGCCTAACCGGTTATAATTTTTTTTTTTTTGGCTCTTCTATTTAACCCCCAACCCCTCCCCCTCAACCCCAAACCACCCCAAACCACCTCAAATGGCCCAAAATACCTAATCCAACCCAAAACTTAAAAAAAATTCAAACAAAAAAAAAAATTAAAAACCGGCCCGAACCGGCCGGGCCGGTTCACCAAAAACAGGGCCCGAGCCCGAACCGCCCAGCAGCCAGGCCGAACCGAACCGGTGGACCCACCGGGCCCCGGGCCAGGCCGGGCCAAACAGTAACCGGGCCGGCCCGGTTCCGGGCCGGGCCGCCCGGCCCGAGTCCACCACTACTTTTACCTAGTTTAATTGTTTAAACTAGTGTTTAAGTTCAAGGGTTTGATTGTTTAATTTTGAAGCAGTTGAGGGAAGGATGTATCTGCAAGTCTTTAGATTAAGGGCCTGATTCCAACATCGCAAATAGTTCAAGGGCTTATTTGTCAATTTTCTCCTAGTTTATTACACTCCTACGCTAAGCAGCAAACGTTTTTTTCTGAACTCTACACTACCCCACACAAAGGAATGTTGGTAAAAAACTACAATGACGTATAGCCCAATGTTGTTGAGTGTTGACGCAAACATAAGAGTAATCAAGCAAACAATGAGTAGCAATATGCCGAGTCAAGCAAAATATTATCATTAACATACTAGCTAGCTCATCATAATCATAAAATGTACATAGTCAATTATACTGGTAAACAAAAACAAGTAGATAATCATATATGCATTACTCAGCCCAAGACACCCACAGCAACCAACTAACAGGATAGCCACAAAACCGACATATTCTTGCAATCAGCTAAACTTGGCCTTGGAGAAGTCCATTTCTGGGTGCTGCAAAGTTTAAAGTACAACAAAATCAATTAAAAGAGGTGTGACAGGCATAGGGGCGCCATATATAAAGATTTTGCTTGACTTTTACCTCAGACATGAATTTCTTCAAGATATCTTGCTTCTGCATCTCATCACTTGTTGGAAGACCCATAGATTTTTGTCTCTGATCATACTGCACACAAAAGAAAATATCGAATGTCAGAAAAAAATAATTTTTTGTGATCAAAATGTTGAGTTCACCAAGCACACAAAAACAACAAGGAATCAACTTCATAGTAAGTATTTAACCAGTATAGTCAAAAGGCATAAAAAGCATATGATGAAAACATTCAGGGTACCCAACTCTTGTATGGTACATGATAAACAATTATCGATAATAGTCATAATACAAAATAATAAAAGAAAATTGAAAAGTGTATATGAGGGGTAGTTCCACTAGAATGATCTTCACTTCACGCTGTTCATGATTCCTTTATGTCTCACTTTACTCTAAATTTCATGCCTCATTTTGGAACGAAAGAGCTATTACACGCCACTCGCACTAGTAATAGAAAATATATAATTCTCATACTCAACCAAACAAAAAGTTTCACCCTGTGTCATTCCCATATTTCACAACTATGCAAACAAATAAATGCAGTTTCGTTAAAGGGATTCAAACTGTCCACATCATTAGGAGACTACTTGCCAAAATGAACACATGTTAGATCACATCAGATGTTCTCACACTAGGTGCTCTCACTCTTTCTCTGGGGGCTTCTTTGGTTCAGGGATTTCAGGAGTGAGAAGTGGAGGGCTTATAAAAGAAATTAGATGCTTGGCAATAAAGTGAAGATTAAAAAAAATACATAGAAAACATGATCTAACTAACCATAAAGTTATTTCAAGTTTAAATTTAACAAATAGAGATAGATTAGCAACAAAAATCAATCCTCTCCTTCCCACCACAATCCCCAAGCCAAACAAGCCCTTGAGTTCTTTCTCCGGGGCCCACCGCAAACATTTACTCATTTGAATGGTTAGACTGGTTATTTATTTGGCAGTATACATCCAATATAATTGTAAAAGAACTGGAAACCATACCATCATTTTTTCCACAGTTGACCGCGTTTCAGGATCTAAATCTGATAGTTTGCTATTTTCTGGTTCAACTTTCTGTGTATCAATTTCAGGCTCACCTTTTGCCAAACACTTCCACCACTCCATGTTATCTTTCTTGGTTAACAGTACTGAGACAGCCTTTTGATCCTCTATAGAAATATGAGAAAAACACATTGTTAGTTATTATAATAACAAACAACTAGAAGTGTTATGAAATAAAATGTTCAGCAAAGAATTCATGCCGGCTATCGCAAAGACTTACCCAAACTCCAAAAGCTATCATCAACCTTAACAGGCTTGTAGAGTTCAGCCTGGAAATAGAGGTGAATAAATATTAGAATCACAAGGGCGGAAATGGAAGTAAACAAACATAAAAAAAAATGAAAAGCATGCAAAATAACCAAACTAAACAATCTATGTGCAAGAGTAGTTTGCCGGTTGAAGTCTTTACATCTATCACTGGTGGCTGACCCTTAACCCCAACTTTAAGATGATTCTTTTTTATCTCACATATGATGAACCTTGACTTGGTTCCAGGGTTTACAGGTATAGTGACATTGACCTCCTGCAGGGTTTGAGTCCAACTGTAGTTATCCATGTCGAGTCCATTCCCTCTGTTAGGAGCTGCGGTCGTAAACGAAATAAGATGAATATACGAAGATATAAGCAGATAAATCTTCCAGTTAATGACACGAGAATTATTCATCAGTGTTAAACATCACTAGAAAATTTAAGCATATGTAGAGATAAAAACAATGCAGAAAACAATCCTTTCAGTGGGAATGGCCTTAAATAAAGGCCTTCACAGCCTCCACCCTTGTAAGTTGTAACAAATAAATACATGCACAAAATGCTAGTTTAGCATTGTCATATAGGATAACGAACAGATAATTGTACCAAATGAATGCCATTAGCCTCTCAAGCCTGAATTCATGTTTTGGTGCCTCTCGAACATTAAGCAAATGAATAAAATAAACATAGTAAAATGACCAAATGCTCTCGCATGTTCATTTTACTTTCGTATGTTACATTTAGTACCTAGAAGTAAACAGGTGCATGATCGTTAGTTTATACAATTCCCTCAAGGGACTGTATACATTTGAGAACCTAGGAAGTATGTAGAAGAATGTTAAATTCCACCGAATCTGAATACCTTTGCTGGCATATTAATTGGGTATTCATATCAATTTTTTTAAACACTATTTTGAATTTTTTTAACGATGAGTCCACTAAAACGTGTTAAAATAAAGTGACCAACTTGTATTGTTGAACCATACAGACCGATTTCATGACCATATATTTTAGACTGATAATAGAGTATTACATTTTTACCCGTCAAATTTCAGCAATGAAAAGAATTCTATAGAAAAGTGTATCACTGTGGAACACCATTGAATATATGTGATGAGATGGAGGTCTTGTGCATTTGCTTCAAAGAAACGACATCCAAGTGACATCAATAATCACAGAATTAACACATTGACATACATTATGACTTGGGATTATGTAAGTTAACCAGTCAGTACTATTTTATTCACTGAGAAGTGCACACTGGAAACACGCACTTCACAATTTGCATTCTCCGATCCTATATTTCATAGGTATAAATATTTGTCCGGTGTCTGCTAAATTAGATTCATTATCCCAATTATCACATATGGATTCACCCATAATTTAAGTTCAGAAGACACACCCACATGTCATCATGCTCACCATTTGAACAATGGCAACACTGGACTATCTACACATCTCCAACTAACAAATGTACTCTCTTTCTTCTTACTGTTGAATTTATATTTATATCATAACATAATGAAACTTTCAACTGATAAATATTATCAGCACATAAAGGAGAAATAACCAGAGTAGGCAAGCAGAAAATCTGATGTTGATGTGTCCCTTGTATCATCATCATCATCATCTTTTCTATCATTATTATTGTTTACTTTGTTAGTACGATTTATCGATTAATATCAAAACACCAAGACTGTTTGTTTCATAATGATTCAATTTGGTCTTGGAGATGTTGGGCTTTCAATATTACTCGAGGACAAGCTTGATATACACAAGGGGAGTAACGATGTGGGCATTTCTCTTGTATGTTTATAATAATTACTATTATTATTATCATCATCATTATTGTTGTTACATATATTGTTGTTTTTATATTATCATCATCATCGCCATTTGTTTCCTATCTTAGTACTATTTCTTATTGTTATTTGTACTTTCTTATTAGTATAGGAATCTAAATTTTATAGAATATTCTTAACAAAAGTAATGTAATCGAATTACGGTTATCCTAATACTCCGTACTAATCTGCCAATACTTCTGAAACTAGTGTTAGCAAGATTATTTGTAAATTTGGATCTACTTAGTGTCTTGACAAGGTAAGGCGCCACCTACTCTTTCCTGGAGTTGAGAAGTCAATCACCTTTGGACTTCAACCTTCTTTACATCCTCCAACCATGCTTGCAACCACTTCAATACACACACCACACATTGTGCCACTTACCAAAAAGCAATGCAGCTAGCAGCGTTTGCCATTCTATTGTGCAGAGTATATGATAATAAAGTCAATGACAGGGCACATACACACATATACATCAAGCAAGAACATGCATACTACTATACTAGATAGAGATGCAAAGGAGCCTATGTGTTCACAGACAGAGACACGTTTATACTCATGAATTGAAAAGATTGTCGCCTAACGCAATAAAAATCAACAAATGTATTCCTAAATGAGTTAACCAATACCTCGAGGTCCGTTCCTGTTTTCCTCCTTAATTTCGGTAGTCTTCTCCTCCTCTACTTTCACCTCCTTGGGTGATGCAGCTGCTAAAGGGATCGGCGCCTCCTTCATCTTATCCTCAACATTCCCATTCGCCCCTTTGTCTATATCCATCTGACTTCGCTCATCAGTTTGAACCTTTTCCTTGACCATTCGAACCACAGCATTCACATCGTTGATCAAAGAGTCGCTCTTGAACAAATCAGACTCTCGGGCGACGAACTCAAACGCCGCCTCAAGAAACCCAAGCGGGTTAGCGGGATCAAGAACGGCCTTAAACGCCTTCGTCACAGCTGCCGATGGAGCAGGCGTATTGTTTTCGGTATCTTCATAGTCAGAGAGAATTGCCATCGTATCCGTGAGCAGAGTACCTCTAGGGTTTTCGATGTTCCAACTTCCAATCGTGAAAGACTAGAAGGGTTTTACTGGTTGTGTGGGATAAATAGAGAGACAATGGAGAATTCCAGAAGCAACGCGCCGTCATTACTTGTACTTTTTAGGGTTAATTAAGGATTAAGGATGTTTGTACTTGGATCAAATCTAATTTAGGTATGATATGATATCAAATCTAACTAGACTTAAATATACTCCCTCCGTCCCAGGGAGAAGTTCCCACTTTCCTTTTTTAGTAGTCCCAACAAAAAGTTCTCATTTCCCTAAATGGAAAGTTATCCTACATCAAAATAGTGTCAAACAATGCAAAACAGTGCCAAACAGTGTCGAAACAGTGCCAAACAGTGTCGAAACAGTGTCAAACAGTAAAATTTACCCCTCAGTAACTTTATTTCCTAAATATGTGTGAAAGTCAACCTGGGAACTTCTCCCTGGGACGGAGGGAGTATCATATTAGACCAGATCAAATTTAAACAGACCAGTTCAGATAAGACTTTTATAGTTATAAAAACACAGAGATCAATTATTTATCAGACTAAACCAGTTCAGGTTAGACCACACTTCAATAGATCAGACCACACTTAGACCAGCAATTTTTTTTAGATGAAAGGCAAACATATATAAACCACACAAAAAATTATATACATCATCTCAGGGCATACCCCCACCTCAAGCATTACAACCAAAATTTGCTTAAGTGATCCAAAGCAAACCAAGCTCCAAAACATATGCCTTCAAAAGTCAATCAAAACGGTTGGGTAAAGTTTAAACAAACTCTTGTAAACAATGGCTTTTATATGTTCCACTATATCTGTAATAGTAGATGGATGGTTAGCAAAACGACTTCATTCATAGCTTTCCAAAGCAAGTAGACAATACAATTTAGCGCTAATCGGACAGCCTTACTTTTAATCCTTGCACCTTCATATATAGTTCTTCTTGCACACTTTAATCACACTCAAGAGAGTAGTAGGTTTTTTTCTCATTTCAAGTCATTCCCTGATTTCTGCCCAAACTTAGCTAGTAAAGGGGCAAAGAAAGAAGAGATGGTAAACAGGTTCCACACGCATTTTGTAGAAAAAACACTCCCTTGCAATATCAATGAACATCAGGTTATCACATGTTGGCAATTTATTTCTCATGCTTAACCATAAAATAAATGAAAACTTTGGTGGAATGTATCTTTTCCATATAAAAGGCATTCAAGGTTTTCTGGACCCTTGCATCTCAGTATGTCATACACCTTCTCAGCCAATACCTTCCCAGCCGATAACCGTGCGGGCACACCTGGGGCTTGTTTGTTGACTGTGGGACGTGCGGTTAAGACTTTTTGACTTCTAGCTCTCAGAATCACCTGCGGAGCGCGCGGTACTTACCTGCGGGGCGCGCAGATGACTCTTGAACCGATTTCTTGCTCTTTTCTTCCTCGTTCGCTCCCGATCGATCCTATCTTCAATCTTTGATCTTCCAAGCCTCGAATCATGCCTCTAAATCATCTCGTGGACCTCCGATGTCTCTTATTGCTATCTCTCGAACGCATCCCGAATCTTCTTAACTTAAGCTCAAACGCTGATGTCGGATCCGAATTTTCCCTTTTCTTCAACAAATGCAAACCAAACCCGGTAAACCATGACATGAGCTAAATAAACGCTTTGTGACGCAAACAAATTAGGAAAAGTGACAAAACTCAATCTCAACACACATCAAATGCGTGTTGGAATACGAACTTATCACTCACCTCCCCTTTCACCTTATTAATTGTAAGTTCCAGAAATCCGTCAATCATATAATATAGAAGAAGAACAGAGAAGAGTTTAAATTATTGAATCAATATAAAAAATGATATGGCAATGAAAGTATATGGTATTGAAATGGAGGCTCTCTCTGAAACATAGGCTCTCTCATCTTTGTTTATATAATAAGAGGCAATTCACGTTAACATGGTCCTTTTGCCATTCACTTCCGTCTGTTTTTAAATTGTCGTCCATACGCTTCAAACTCCATCTACCATAAAACCTTGCGATTTTTCGGTCTCAATTCCGACTTTCCGATTGTGCGGTTGTTCAACCGCTAAAAGATCTGCCTGCTGCGATTCGTATACGAGATTCTCATTCGTATACGGAGTATATTATAGGGCAACTATATGGCCGCATGATCTCTTCCTCTTTCACCATGCTACCCGGCTTTTCAACCGCAAAAAAGAACTGCCTACTACAATTCTTATACCATCGTATGCAATGATATGGCCACATGATATCTACATCTTTAGCCATCCTATCCTTCCGGTTCTCCAAGGTACTCATTTTGAATCTTTTTATTTTCTTCACCGACTTGCTATGGAATTTCTCTGAACTTGCTAATTCGTTTGTCCATTTTCAAACAGCTGTTTGTTAAGGCTTACTAATTCTCTTCACTCCTTAATTTATCAGACCACTTTATTTACACATTTAGTAAAGAAGTTGTTCTGTAGTCAGTCATGAATGTCCATTACATGTTCGACAAAATGCCTCAACCATTGTTCAGAATGCACACTTTTGTTGTACATGTGCAATGATACCTAGGATTTCAAACACACTTAAACCTTGAAAAAGACTCACACTTTCACTTACAATCCTAAAATGTTTAACCTTTGTTATTGTTGTGCATTTCTTCATATTATTCATGCTATTGTTTTACAGTTTTAGTATGAGAATTGAGATTTTTTTAACCATCAATTCGATTGTGTTATGGAACAGTAGCAATCACAGTTTTTTTCTTGTGAAAAATGTTAATGAAACGTTGATAGGGTATGTCATATTTTAGGTTGTTTCCACTCATCTCTTTCGGCACAGAGTAAATTTACTATGATTTTTTTGGGTTATTCCGATTACATTCATTTGTTTCTAGCACCTAGGCAGTTTAAAAAAATTCTCTTTTTAATGCACTTGTTTTCAGTTTTATCAACTTCAATTTTTTCCTTCACTAACCATCTGCACTCTAAATTTGGTTCACCAAAGACATTGTCACATTGCAATCTGTTAAACACCACATCCTTGCATTTCCATTGATTTTTTGTAGTACACACTACTTTCTCCAGACTCCCAAATTCAAAGTGTTTGCATTTATTTTTTCAAGAATTGTGTAATGTTATCTCATTATGTTCTTGTGTTTGGATTTGGATCAGAAACTAAATACGTAGTGCAATATTAGAAAGCATTTTTATTTGCATCTTTATCTTATTTGAATTGAATGAGAAATTGATTTCTGTGTGCCTGTGTCATTATTTGGAAAATGATTCAAATGATACTTCCTAATTAAATTATCATCACCAAGCCTAAAGTTTTCTGCATATTTCTCTTGAGCTGTGTTCTTTTGGACTAAAATTTACTTGTAATTTATTTTTACTCTGGGCCTCAGTTTTGTGTTAAAAACCTAGACAACGCCAAACATTGTTCATTTTTATACTTTTTTTTTCCACAAAGCAACTCCAACCTTTTATTGATAAAAAAGGGTACAATACAAGATGAAAAAAAAGTACAGAAAAGATAAAAATAAAAACAAACTAGACCCAAGGGAAATTTTTGGACTGGGACCTAGTCCTCATACTGTGCCGCCTTTTATTCTTTTGAGATTTCTTGTATATTTTTAGTTGCGTGTTCAAATTGTCTGTAGGCAGACAATTCTCCAAGGTAATGAATTCGGTTTTGCGGCAGATCCCACGGTTGAATTTGGAATTCCTGATATCTTCCTTATTTGAAATAGGAGGACGACGGTCGCTTTCTGTTGCATGTCCCATAAAATCATCTGAGAAGAATGAGTCATCGGAGTGATCAAAGTTGTCAGAGGCATCTGAGTAAGCCGGAATCAGAGACATATTGGGTTGTTTTCCTGGGAAATAAGCATGTTGAGTATCAGCGCATGCTGCCTGAATTTGAAAATTAAATATTAGTTTTGAAATTGAAATTGGTTCCTCGGTTTCTGCGTAGCTCCTATTCTGCAGAGAGATTGGTTCCGCCTGCCTTAAATTAGACAGCCCTGTGAAATTTGAAAAAATGGTTATAAATTGAGAGAGGCTAGAGTTTTGTGGACCCATGGGAATTTGGATGGAGCTACCCTTATCTTTAGCAATTTTCACATAGTATCCTGATCTGTTAATTTCCAAGGAGACTGTGATAACTCCAAATCTCCTTTTCCGCTTGTAAGTGAGCGGGCCAGGATTTGTAAGTTGGCAGATAAATCGGATGATTTGAGGGGCAAGGTTAAGTTTGAAATTAACCTTGTGCAACTGGGATTTTTTAAATTCGAGAATGACCATTTCGCCGTTCCTGACTGCAAATTTAAAAATTTTTGAGTCAATTTTAATTGAGTCAAATCCTTCTTCGGCAAAGAAATAATATTTTTCTGAGTCCAGACAGATGATTTCTGATCCAATTTGAATTCTATCATCCCCCTCCTGAATGGTAAGAGTTGCTTCATCAGATACATTAAGGTCCGCCAAAATAATTTCGTTGAAGGTATTTGTGGCTGAGAAAGGAACAGCCTCTCCAGCCTGGTTCGTAGAGGCTGTGGCAGAGATAATTGGGGTTTTCAAAATATCAACCCATGTGACGGTCCTTTCCCTGTTTTGAATTCCAGATTCAGTGAATATGGCCAAAGGACTCGGTGCTGTAGCGATTGGAGGTGCCGGAGCCTGGTCCGCCTGCCCACGCGTCTTCAGCCCGCCATTTCCACTACTCGGACCTGCGCTAAACGCCTGAGATCTCACTGAGGTGGAATGAAGGTCCGTTGCTGGTTTAACTGCCCGATGATCCGGAACTGAATCAGTCTGAGGTGCCGGTGTTCTGGCCGCCAGTCTTCGCACCATGTTACCACCTAAACCAGCTTGGATTTCAGAAAATAAAACAATTTCTTTTCCTTTCAGATGAGGGATATTGTCTTTATACTTATAGCACTATTTTGTTTAGTTTTGATAACAATGATTACGTGTTGTAAATAGAGTCAGATTTGTTTAAGGCTCCTCCGATCTCTTTGAAACTGGTCGCATCAGAGAGTAGAGACAAATATAAGCCTAAGAGAATAAGACATATTAGTGAAGTTATCTGCAAAAGTTAACTTGAGCTGGAGTCTAATTACATTATA